CAACACTCTGCAGCATTCTAACCAGTGACCTACCATTGCCCCATTGTGGCACCTGATATTCCCAGCAGTCAGACATCCAAGTAGGCGTAGTGAGCCAGGCTCAATCATGCTCCAATTCCAAGATGAGAAAAGACTGGGCATTCTCAAGGTGGTATGGCTGTTTGAAGAAGCCAAACAGCCATCGTATAGTCATCTTTAAAATTGACTTTGTTTAGTTTTTAGTAAAACACACACACACACACACACAGTCTAACTATACAGTAACTTCAGTCACAGCTTGAAATGAATAGCAAAAATGGCACCAACACCAAATGGCAGTCAAGAGAAAATGTGTCCAGTGCACAGTTCTCTTGCCTGAGGACCCTTGCTGATGAGTGCATCTTTCCCCCGCCTAACCACAGACTTATTCAGGAGAAAAATAAATATAACTGATCACATATTTACCTGGTGCAGCTTTAAGTTGATTTTCTCTAGGTCCCGTTTCAAGCTTTTGTATTTTGATTCTCTGCTGAAAATCACCTAAGCAAAAAAATTATAATAATAATAATAAAATAAATAAATAATAATAATAATTTTCGAAAGTTAGTATCTTTTGAACCCCATATGAAATAAATGTTATGAAACTTTTTTGCTACTGCATAATTGGTTGCCCGGGATTCAGAACAGACAATGCTTCAATAATTTAGGACTATCAGACAGTATAAAAACAGAGAGAGATCATTTTGGATTTGCCAGGCAACACAATTTGTGACAGTATTGCATTGATTTTCCTCCTTTGTGTTGCTTTAATGCACTCTCTTGGTACTGAAATTAACCTGCATAATAAAGGTAAAATAAATGACATATGCAATCCTTCAGATATATAATAAATGCTCAAATGCCATAGCTACAGTGGGGAGGCAAATGGTGAGCCAGCTCTGACAGGTTAATCCCCAGTTTATACTGTAAATGACCAACTATAAATGAGGCTGATGTGCCGCTTTCTTATACTTAGATTATTAGCTCCGTCTAATGTTGTGTGTTGGATATCGTTTTTATTAAGCACAGGTGAATTTCGCTCTGGGATGAATCAGGATTGCCAATGTAGTGAGTCATCAAAACAAAACAGTAAATGACATCCTCTTTGACTTGTGGAGAATAGCCTACTTGAAGCCACTGGCCATTAGATTGCCTGGCGAAATTTCAAAACAGAAAGGGAAGATCGTTAACATTTGAGCTGACCTTTTCTTGAGACAACACGCTGATATAACACAGACATGCCGTGCGTCTGTCCGAAGGGAAGCTTACTTAGGAGGTCGCTTTGCTCATTTTCCCCCGAGCTGAAGCTGACAGATCAGGATTTAAAACGAACTGGTGAGAGATCATGGCGAGCACCATGTGCTTATAGGGCCATCTAGTGGTGTAATGACTCATTGACACCTTTTCACCAATATAGAAGTTTAGTTATAGGTGTACTGCGCAACTTTTCTCAGGGAGAGTCCTCCACTTTCTTGTCTCCATGAAGGTGTTATTGCTGTGTCTGGAATCCATCTAACATTCATTCATTACTGGTGTTTCTATTGCTCAAAAATACTGAAACTCTGTGAATGGGGCAACTTCATTGATCTGAATTGTTATGTAGTGTTAGTTAGTATAGTGCTGTGATCTGCTTGTATCTACAAGCAGATCACAGCATACGCTTGTAGATATGTTTAGTCTATACTGTACTGTGGAACATTCTAGACAAAGCAATAACATTTCCATGAAGACACCAGGTGGCAGAGCACCTTTAAATAAAGGGCTGGTGCAAATCTGGAAGTAGACCTGCAATAGGCTACGTATCATTACGCATCAAGTTTGAAGTGGAGTTTAAAAATATTGGCCAGCAAAAGCTTTAGATATCCCCAAACCCTCCTGGGTTCTTCTCTCTTTAAATCTGACTAGTAATGTTTTTTGGTGGCACCATTTGCTTGCCTTCATGAAAAGAGACTATTTATTTCATGGACTTAATTCTGAATTAATACAGACTGAAACAATGGAATCACAAAATTTAGTGTGTCTTATGCACTGGTTGAAGAAGAACTCAATTGAGTAAAGCACAGATTCCAGAGCAAAAAGATACTCAAATATAAAGTATCACATGAAAAGATCTACTCAAGTAAAGGTATTAAAGTATCCCTTTAAAAATTTACTTCTTCTTCTTTCACCCATATTTTGTGATCTAATAAAGCTTTAAATGTATTGATTTTGGTAAAGAGTTGTGCTGAATTTTATTCAATAAAAACAATTTAATAGATTTTTTTTTTCTCCCGTAACCTTTTCAGCAGGTCTCAAACTATGATAAGAATACTTTTACTTTTCAATCCTGTTCAAAAATGTTGTGGAGTAGAAAGTACAGATACCTGCTCTCAAATGTAGTGGAGTAAAAGTAAAAAATACACACTTTAAAATCTACATAAGTAATGTACCAATACCTAAAACTTATACTCAAGTACAGTTTTAATTTGTTGCCTTCACCACTGGTATTAGGTTCTGTAAAATATTTACAAAGTATGTCTTAACTTTACTGTAACAAATTCCAGTTTAGTTTTTGCTGCCAGTGTCACTTTTCTGTTCTCTCAGGAGGAAGTCAAACAGCTTTGCTGGACAGAATATAAGTAATGGCATTTTCTTGACATGGCAACAACCACACAAATAAAACTCCAAGAAATTATAAAAAGATTTAGTGTTTCAGTTCCTTGGAGTCATTCTGTTGTACTTCTTCTTATGTTTCGTTAAAAAGAGGATGTTCAGTAGCCAACTAAAGACAGCACTGTTGATCCTTGTGATAAACTATTGCTAAATGTTCAAAAAATCCAATGAAATTAGTGATGTTTATGGTGACTGACTGTCACATAACCATGTACCGTATAAGTCTATTAAAGTGGTATCAGATCAACCCTTTACTGTGAAATAGGCCTATAGACCCTTGCACACTTTCACAAACTTTATGGGTATAGCCATGTGTGAGGTCAAATGTTTTGAAGTATAAAATAAACATGTGATTAACATGAGGAAAGTGATCAAAGAGTTTATGGCTCCACATAAGGATTGGACCATTTGTTGCACATTCTTCAAGTTCCTCCCAGACACTTAAATCTGGAGTGTCAGGATGCTGACCCTCAATGTTTAATCATTTGAGGTGTAAAGTTAAAGGAACTGTATGTAAGATTTTGATTCTACATTACAAACCCATGTATGCCCAGACATGATGTACACTGTAAAATCTAACACAAGGCTTAAATTGCATTCAGTTCAGTTTACTTTACTCACAGCTATAAATTTGTGGATCTTAATGATGATTACTTTCAGGGTGAAAAAACACATTACTTGTCAATTAGACTAAGGTCAACTTGAATGAGAAAAGTAACTTTCAGCTTGATTTCCCAGTGTGTTCTGATCCTCCCTTTGCCACCTGCCTGTTTTTCCTACAGCTGCCACTCATACTCTGATCCTTCCAGAGCGATCTCCAGATCCTCCCTCTGTTCATTCAGTCTGTGTTAGATTCATGCATGATTTTGTTTCTTCACATATACATGGGCTCAGTGGTGATTCTAGTAGCCTCTCTTTTCTTTTCTTTTCTTTTTTTTCAGCTTAAAAAGAGTGCAGACTATAAATAGTTCCTTTAAAATCTGGTTGTTGGCAAAACCCAACCTATTGGCATTAAAAAAACCAAAACAAAAACTTTATTGTCCCATAGAAAAATAAATTTGTTCTCTACTTTTGACCCATCCTTCAATTTAATCCTTAAATCCATGGACACCCTGTCAGGAGCTAGTATACAGTATAACAGAGTAGACCTGTAGCTGGTGCACATACAGTGCATGTTTTGGATTCACTCTCACAGGTAAATCATGCAAATTTCTTTGCACTCCATTGACTCATGAGCTGAGGTGTAAAAAAAATAAACAGTTTTTTTAAAAACAAAAATTGGTTGAGGACTAGTTTGTGCAGGTGAGACATGAGTCACTCATGTCTCACCTGCACAAACTAGTTTTAGTTTTTAATATGCACAATCACAGCCCAAGTTCAATGATTAGAATTAAAGACGTTTATTGACCTGAAGTAACCTAACTCTGGACTTTCTCTTTTTGTGTTTGGAAAAAGTAGTAGGCTATCTAGACCTACAAAGACAAGTTATTTTAAAGTCACGGTTTTGGTTGTTTTAATTGCATTGAAAAAAATCCTTATGAGCTAGCTTCCATCCCCATAAAACTGATTCCTATATAGCCTAGAGGAGGGTTTCCTCTTGCATGTTTCCATGGAATTGTTGTTCCTTTGGTTATAGCTTAATCTTCCACAATATAGCATAAAAAGTAGGCGAAACCTGGAAAAGTATCTAGGCCTATTTCCATTCATAGAATTGGAATCATGTAGCCTATAGGTCAAGTGCCATTTCCAGAAAGTTACACAGGCCTACTGCACCTTTAAAGCAAATCGAGTTTACGGTCCGTGCCTGATATAGGCCAGTGTCATCGTTGAAGCCTCTCTCCCCAGTTTTACAAAGTGCGGTTAGGGCCCCTTTTAGGTCCTACTCGCGATTTATTTATCTGCTTCACACGATAACATGAATGCAGACATTATAGCAATAAGAAATATGTTTAAATCACTGTTCATTATGATGGCCCTTTTAAGCCGTGGATCTGACGTCGTTCGCTGCTGTTTCCCTTGTGTTTTGATTCAGCTGCGGAAAGCTGAATGGGGAGCTTGGTGAAAAAAAGCGCTTCCCCTGGCTGGCATCACCCCCTCAGTCAGTCCGACCGCCCACAGTCCGGGGGGAGAAAGAAAGTGCGGCTTTGTCAATGAAGGGAGCGGCGGAGAGCACAACTTTCACCTTACCAATGTTATTCCTGACGCCAGCTCACGTTTTTACACTGAAATAAGCGCACTTTGGGCTGTGCAACAGGCAGACCTGCTGAGAGTGACTTCCACAAGAGCGGTAAGTCAGCGCGCATGTGTCGGGACGCAGAGGGATAACAAGGAGCCGCAGGGATCTTTTTCGAAAGAAAGATGCACGCTTTGCAGGCGAACCGTGACCGGAATAGATGGGGGTACGTGGGAGGAAATTTCAGGCGTTATTTAACACTTTTATGCATTTTAAGCGAGCAAGCGAGACATTAATTGGCCGTCAAAAGATTCTGAAATAGTTTACTAGTTGACAAATTAGCGAGAGGCAATTATTTCTGTAGCTCACATTAATTGATGATTTGCCTAAAATGGTAGTCTACTTATACATTAGGCCATATGCCATATGCAGGTGTCCATGCTCTGTTCCGGCAAACCACTTCACAATTTTGCAAAGTTTCCTACAGCTTTTAGAGGATTTCGCAACAGTAGCCTAGCCTACATGAGTCATGCAGCAGACGTCCCTTCTAGTGTCACTGACAAAAAATGGCTCATAAAGACTCATTCATGCTGACTTGTCTGCCTCTAGGGAAGCTGCTGGGCTCAGGGCAGTAAGTTTGGACACATTTCTGGGAATAGTTACTTTAGTGTGGTTTGTGGTCACAATAACAAAAAATTAAAAACTATAGTAATCCATTTAACCTAGGCTATGCGTGCTTCATTATTTTAGATATTGGAAAACAGACAGTGGGGTGACATAGCAATAATCTACTTTTTTTCTGTCCCAAGTCAGGCTTTATTGTATCCAATATTGTTACCTCATCAAAAACAGCTGTATTTCAGTAATTCTTTATTATTTGTCTGTCTAATTCTCCAAAGCTCAGAATGTTCTGTTCCACCTTGTGATGTCATGAAAAGGTACTTTTCAAATTAGTTTTCAACAGCTGCCTTAGTACTGGGCATTCCAGGGCTGAAATCATTCTAGTGAAGATGTATGGAGCACTGTATTACCATGTGACATCATAAGGTGGAACAGAGTCTTTTCTGTTTGAGCGAAGAACTCCTAAAGCCTAAATATGCAGGATTTGTGTGTGAATGAAACAAAACACAACACTAGGTATGTTTTTGATTAGGAGCCATTGTAACATAGATCAGAAAATACTGTAATATGGGCCCTTTAATATTAAAAATCAGTGCACACTAAGAGGAAATTATGTAATGTCCACCAGAGCCTAGTCAGATTTAGCTCTTCACAAACTCATAGAAATCTTTATGGTGGCCTATTTATCTAATTTTCAACACACCGATTCTAATTATACAGACAACTAATTTTAATATGTCACATTATTTTTGGCAGGAGCTGTACAGGATGGAGTTAACACTGGTCTTTGTGGCTTGCCTCTGCCTTATAATGGCAGTTACTGGTGACCCCTGTCTTATTATCAGTGAGATCAACGCTGACAACCCTAGACTGGACACCACTGAATTTGTGGAATTGTACCACACCAGTGGACAGAGAGCTTCTTTAGATGGATACTCACTTGTTTTTTATAATGGAAATGGGAATATAGCCTACAAAGTGCTGGACCTTAAGGGATATAGCACAGATGACAGAGGATTCTTCCTGGTTGGGTCTGTGGACATGCAACCTAAACCGGCAATCCTGTTGCCTCCAAACACCGTGCAAAATGGCCCGGATGCTATAGCCATCTACCACTCCAGTGCTGCACGGTACAGTGAGAAAATGAATGTGACAGCGGTGGGATTGGTGGACGCTGTAGTGTACATGAGCAGGAGGTCCGGAGGGGCTGAGTATCTGGCTGAAATGCTAACACCAGGAGAACCAGCCTTTGTAGAGGATGATACAGCCCATGATGGAGATGAGTCTATAGAGAGATGTTTAATGTCTGAAGACCGGTGGGGATTTCAGGTATCTCTCCCCTCTCCAGGACAGAGGAATAACTGCACCCCACCCATGTCTCCAGCCACTGCGCCACTGATAACTGAAGTAAGGCTGGGCGGAGGGCAGGTGGAGAGCTTTGTGGAGATGACAGAGGCCCCTAGTGTAGGATCCTTGGTGCTAGTGGTGTTGGATGGGAGAACAGACAGAGTGAGTGTGAGCATGTCTCTGGATATGCAAGCCACAAATGGTCTGGTCTCTATCAGCATAGACAAGAACTACATGAAAGGTGAGGTATCACAGAGATATCACATATCACATTTTAGTGTTATGTTTATAGAAGGAATAAACATTGCAATAATACTTGATGGATGGTAGGGCTGTGAAATTAATGGAATTTTAATCAAGAGCCACTCATTTCTAATTGTCAATGATCAGCTTGGATGATTTGAACACATATCCACAGGCCCACAGCCATCACCTGTCAGTAAAACATTTTGGTTTGGAGCAGAGTTCTCACTTTGGAGGAAGAATTGACTTACTTGTTTTAAAAGGCAAAAGTGTGTATTGTCTGGAACAACATTAAATGCAATTTTTTTGGTAAATTAAGTAAAATTGACACTGTGATCAAACAATAAGTTGGAATAACATTATTTTGGTCATATTACCCAGCCTTAATGGGTACTGTTTTAGTATTTTAGTATTATCTTTACACAATAAGTACATTACTTTTTATTGATAAGGTGGTACATGTTCATAGTAAGCAGTAGTAGATTATAAGCAGTACGTTGTTTCTTCTATATCATCAGTATATTCATCTGTCTCAGAGTTTCTTTTGTCCTGTTTTAACCTCTCCCATGTTGCTTTTAGGAGACCAGTCTGGAGCAGTGGCCATTTACAGTGGCAGTGTCAACGATTTCCCTGTGGGCAGTGCCCTGAGTCAGATACAACCACTTGACGCATTTGTTTTTGCTGGACCTGGAAACCGGCCCAGCACCAACCTCACTGAGACCCTTATACCAGGAAGACAGCCTTATCAACTCAGCAACAGGCAAGATTTCTAGATTATTCTTAATTCTATCATAAAATGATCACAGATACCTATACCTAAAAAGTAAGAGTAATTTATTGACTAACATTACACAGTTTAAATGTAATATTTCTAATCAATGCCAGATAAGTTGGAAATGGAAAAAAAAATCATGTTTAGATTTCTTTATAATAATGCAATGAGATTGACTTCTTGACATCTGAAAAGCAACATTTTTAAGATTTAGTTCAGACATGTTGAAAGTTGTGAAAGTGACAAAAATCTATTTTTAACAAAAGAAGAGGTGACTAAAATGAATGGAATTTGAGATGACATCTCCTGTTATATGCTGAGAACCTAAACTACACTGAATGATAATGCATAAAAATAATAGAGTGCTGGGATGTCTAAGGTGCTTGTAAAAGAACCTGGTAGAGTATAGAGAGGTACCATCACAGAAGCAAAAAGCTGCAGATGACACAATGAAGGTGTAAGTACAAATGTATTTATAATATTTTAGTTAATTGTTCATTGTATTCTGTGGCTAAACGGGACACTCAGGAAGAAGCATTCAGTATATAAAAAGATAAAATTATGTAGATGATATGAGCTCATTCAGTGCTAAATATACTGACCATGATTCAGGCTAGTTTGGTTTTGTAGGATGCAATGAGAAATGTCTCACTATGCTAATTGCGTAGCACAGAATGAGTAGAGTAAGGCAATAATGTAATCAGTACAGAAGGGTGTTAAATGCTAAATGTTTTTTTTTTCTCAGCTTGAGAGAGGGAGGCTTCCATCTCAGTCGCTGTGGTGTTGCCACGTGGTCTAGAGATCCTGGTGTCTTTTGGGAAGCTCCTCAAACACCTGGGCAGCTAAACCAGTGTCCCTGGCCAAAGATCTGCCCACATAGCTCTGGTAAGTTTAAAAGCATCTAGCTCCACATGCGCCCCGCTATGACTCTTGTATACTGCCCCCAGCAGCATTACAATAGACAACTCTATGAGGATTACTTTTATCTGTTGATACATACAGTCTTAATTTATAAGATACAGTCTTAATTTAAAGTTTCAGTTTATATTAATATCTCATTCAGTTTCATTCATGTCCTTTCACATTTGTTGTTGCTCTCATGTAGATAGATTATATAAATTGGATTCAATTCATTTATAAAAGTGCTCTTTCCAGTGTACTTTGTGAATGTTGTCTTTTCTTAGTTGTTCACTTCAACAGAATGCTAAATATATATAAGATAGAAATGGTTATTCAAGTTTTTTGATGTACCTACATTTGTTAATCTGAATTCAATCAATTAAACTGTGTGATGGATGATGATACAATAAGTTTACTACAAAGTAGAACTCTCTACTTTGTAGGTGCTTGTTCATGTACAGACATTTCTGATAGTTGATCAAACATCTATTCTTCCTCTTCACATTTACCTTTGACATGAAACATAATTCAGTGTTTCACCAACCTATTCATTATGACACAAAGCCTAGCTCTAGAATGATACATACTACTATAGGTTTGTGATTTACCTTATTATATTAGAAATTACTGTAAATTCAGTTACTGTCTTTACTGGGGCTGCTATACATAAGAAAACTATAATAAACTGAAAATATCTACAGCAAGTCAGCAACCATTTTTAGACATCCACAGCCCTTTTTCACTACAAAATCTAAGAGAGCCACCTAGTCACATTTAGAGTGTGTTCACACTTGTTTGATCTTATTTTTAGCCCAGTTCAATTCTGATGTATTTGATTTTGTGCTGTTGTAGTCATGGTTTGAAAATCCACCCTTGGCGCAATGCCCTCATTGCCCTATGCAAGTGACCACATAAAGCTTCAGATATGTTCACTTTCACAGATTTTGAAATATAATGATGGTTTTCCCTGCACCATTTCAGTGGCTGTATATTTTTAACTGGTCACATAGTGACCCTAACATATGGTCCGGTGCCTGTTGTAGTGAACCCGAGTGGCACAGACGCCTCCCCACACCTGCCTCCATGGGGAAACAGTGACTTTCTGATTAACGAGCTCAACACCAACACACCTGGTGTCGCTGAGGATGGTGAGTACATTGAGCTGTGGCACCCATCAGCCCGCCGTGTCTCGCTGCAGGGCATCTGGATACTTCTGTTCAGTGCACACAACAACAAACCCTACAGAGAGATCAGCTTGAGTGGACACTTTACCACATCCAAAGGGTATTTTCTGTTGGGCAGTGACAGGCTTGTGCCTGCTCCATCGCTACGCCTGCCTCCAAATACTATCCAGAATGGACCAGATGCTGTGGCCCTGTATCGCAGCCCCTTTGGCCCCCCATCAGCTGCACAAAGGGGCATTCCCACCAAAGGCCTGTTGGATGCAGTGGTGTACAGACAGCGAGGTTCTGATAAGGAGGCACAGGAGCTGAGTAAAGTCCTGACTCCTGGACAGCTCCCCCTGCTGGAGGATCCTGAGGTGCTGCCAGGGGATGAGGCCCTAAGCCGCTGCAGAGGCCTGTACCCCTTTGACCTTTCTGCTTTCTCTGTGAGTACATTTACCAATGCTAAATACTGTAAAGATGGTGATCTCAAATCATTAATTTCCAGTTAGACATTCTTCCCATTAAAACACATACTATTTTTCAAGCATTATTCAGACTTTTTTACCTAATTTTAAACAACCTTAGACACCTTTTAATTTACCATGATGCATATGAAAAAAATAAAGATTTCTTAAATAGCAACGCATTTATCAGAAGTGGATGCAAGGATCTGACTTAACTTAAATGTCACAGGTGGCTCTCCCTACTCCGCTGCGTGAGAATATCTGTCCCCGCCCCCCTCCCCCTCCTGAGGGTGTGGTCATCAGTGAGGTTAGCAGCGGACACTGGACCAATCACAGCCAACAGAAAGGATTTGTTGAATTAAAGGGCCCACCCATGACATCGCTTTTGGGCCTGGTGCTATCTGTGTTTGACCAGGAGCGCAGTGGGACCATTATGGGTCTTCCTTTGACTGGCTTCATTGATCAAGATGGATTCTATATTGTTGGAAATGTAACTGGAGCAGGTGATTGATTTTCTGTCATATAAGGTTTTGCGCTGTAGTTGTAAATTGTTTATTCACCCATGTTGTTTCTCCATGTTTCTGTTTTTGTCCTGCATAGATCAGGCCTTCCCAGAAGGCTCCTCCATGCCCATTCGAGGGGCAGTGGTTTTGTGCTATGACCTGTTCAGTGTGTGCAGAGCTGGCACTGCCTTGACCAACTCCAGTCTCAGAGATGTACTTGTGTTCAGTGAAAGGAAGCAGCTGCTATCCTTTCTCTCCACCACCAGAGGGAGACATGTTATTCCAGCTCTTAGGTATCTTACAGCTGCATAAGCTTTTCAATTGCTTTTGGTGTAAATGGAAAGAAAAGCATGGATAATTCACATGGGAAGCAATATAAGCTATGGTATTATCAGATAATTGAACCATTTTCTGGTGAAATGAAAATCACAGATGATTACACAGAATAGCTATGGTCTATGACAGATACAGTGATCTGGATGGCACACTGGCTCACATTTGTCATTTTCATATACATTATTTACTTTAAATGGCAAAGTAAAAGATGTAAAAATATGAAATATATTTAAAGCAAGGCCAAAAATAAAACAAAACAGAAAATATAGTCTGTTCATTCATGTATCTTTGCTAACATAGTATAGTTTTGTACAGGTCTGTGGAAGATGGCCCAGTTTCCTTGAGTCGTTGTTCGTGCTGTGAGGTCAGGAGCCCATCATCCTGGACAAGCTCCTCACCCACCCCCCACAGAGACAACCTCTGCCCCAGCGCTGCCTTTTCCAGCCACATTGACATCTGCCTTAGCCCCATGGCTACTGACTGGCATGGATACTCTGGAGGTGAGCACTTAGGAAGTCCTACACTTTCACATATGTGTGGTAAAATTAGGACTGAAACAAACTAATAGTGACTATTTTACTGTAAAAAATATACCTGGACTACAGATTCTAAAAATGCATACAAAAAGATCTTTTTATAGCAAAGGAAACAGCCTTATTTCATCCAAAAAGCCACTAATACAGTTTATGTGGAAATATTCTCTATTTAGAAGCCTTCAGTCTCCATATTTCATTTTTTGTTTGGTTGATAATGTAGTTTAAAAAGTCTCAGTCAAGTTGACTAATCAGAAGCATAATCACTGACTAGTCTCTTGTGTTTTGTCTAGATTGCAGTGGCCTTCTTCAGGGAAAGAGAATTGCCGAAGTGGCTGACTACCTTGAGCAGAAGTGTCATTGTGGTATATCAGCTTTATATTTCCAAGGTTGGTTTCATGTTTACAAGTGAAGTGAAAACATGCTCAGATGGTCCAAGTCCAAGTCCAAAAGCATTTTTTTTATTTTTAAATAATATTTAATCAAAAAAGCCTTTGTCAGATATTTTTTCTTGCTTTGGCTCACAGTATACTGGTTTCATGTTTATAAAATTTGTTTTATAATACATTGTCTTTGTACGATTTCCATGCGATACAAAAAGACCATTATTACCTCCGCCAAGGAGGTTATGTTTTTGCCGGCGTTTGTCTGTTTGTTTGTTTGTCTGTTAGCAACATAACTCAAAAAGTTATGGACCGATTTTGATGAAATTTTCAGGATTTGTTGGAAATGTGAAAAGGAAGAACTAATTTCATTTTGGGGGTGATCCGGAAGAAATCCTGGATTCTGGATCACTTTGAAATTTTAGTTAACATTGTGGTAAATGGGGCCAAAAAATTTGTTTCTCAATATCTCGGTTAATTATTGACCAAACCCCATGAAATTTGACTCAGGGATGGACAATGGGATCCTCTTTCATATTTCAAAGGCTGATCCGGATCTGATCCAGAAGACTGATTTTATCGCAATTTATATAAAAAATGGGGGTAGTCCTTGGCGGAGGTCTGCGCTCTCTGAGTGCTTTTCTAGTTACTAAGGCATTTATATTAAAAGATATATTGTATACTTGTTTAGGGGCAAACTTTTCCTGTGTGTCTGGTTGGCTGCGAGTATGGGGCGACATTCAGGCTCTTTCCGACCACCAGAAAGCTCTGATCATCCAGACTTCACACCTGAACCTATCACCTTCTCGGGGGGATGGCTGCTCTGCTCCCACCACTGACCGCTACACAAGCACAGGTTTGTATCATGCACCATGTCTTCAGTCCAGCACCCGTATGTGTTACTAAAATTATGTGTTCTTTATACAGCATCTGCACTGGGACTGCAGATCGGCCTTGTTATAGCAGTATTTCTTCTGCTAGGACTAGGAGTGGCTCTATTTACATATTTCTATAAAAGAAGGTAAGGGATCACAATCAAATCCTGTCTCAGTTCAGTTCATAAACAGCAATTCCACTAAATTTTATGATACATTATGGAGGTTTTTTTTTTTCATTATAACAATTTTCAAGCCCAAAATTGGATTTCCAAACTTCATTACACTGTTATGTAGCTACAACACAATGATCAACCATTTGAATTGTAACACCCTCTTTCCATGTGCTATATGTTTATGTTATAAATTTATAGACTAAAGTCACCCAGGACAAAACAGAACACACAGGAAACATAATATAAGGATATTTCATGGACAGACACAGAAGCACTAGAAACACTGTAAAATACTGCTGGAGTAAAAAAATATGTGTGAATGAGGTTTTCATTCAGAGACTTTGCAGTCCAAGTCTGACATAGTTCAAAAACCAATTTGCTAAAAAGCTTTGAAAGTGTTGCTTTTTTGTTACCTAAATAATTAATATGTAGTATTATGTATATGTGGTATGTGACACATATTACATGTACTCTCAAACTATCAGAAACAGTGTAATACTGGTCCCACAGGTCTCTAACTACTTCACACTGCACGCCCAAAAGTGTAGCATTCTCCGAGCTGTGTCTTGATGATGGTTAGGTAGGTTTATATTTTAACCACAAACTGTCATTTTTACAAGTGTTTTATGAGTTTACTTTTTCAGACATTATGTTATTTTTTATGTCTGGTGTGAATAGTTTTGCAAAGTGTGCAAAAGATTTGACAGACTTAAGAAAAGTTTCAGAAAATGTGCCAAAGCAATTGATAAAACTGTAAAATTCTATTTGCAGACGTCCACTGGACTACTACACCATGGAGCTGAGTGAACATGCAGAGGGACTGTCAGATCTATAATGAAGTCTTACAATCATAATATCACCATTCTGGTGTGAATGCATGTGCTTCTAAAGACCAGTTAAGAATAAAAGCTGGGTCCCTTTCTGAGAAGTCATTATTGCAGGATAACCACCATAAGTGCCCTTCAGAATCACGTTCCTGCTTATTATATTGAAATTCAAACTTATATGCAGCAAAACTCAACACTTCCTCTTTGCTTATGGACTGTGCTGGCTACTACTACAAAAAGACTCTGAAAGAAAAAGTTTTAAATACTTCACTTAAACGTTTTTGACTTTTTTATGTCCATAGTTTGAAATGTGAATGTCCTTTGCTATCTTGTGATTAGTGTCTGTAACCACTTACCTGTAAGTGTAACCTACCTGAAGCACACTGTTTACATGTGACTGTAAAAAGGAAGAGATTTTAGACAGCATAAATTTTATTGATTGTTTTAAAGGGAGACCACTGTAAAAGTTTTTTTAAATGTTTGTGTTTCATGTGCCACTTTCCTCATTTGTTTGAGGTAAGGTATACATTAAATCTACTGTACATTAAGTAAAAATTTACTGTAAAATATTCCAACTTTGATACAATAAATTTCAAAGTATACAGTCAACCACCAAGATACAATTAATGAAATTCTGAAATAAACAAATGTGTGATTACAATCCAGTTATTTGTTTTACTCTAATCTCCTTGGTGATATTTCCTTCTTTACCACAGTTTCCTGAGTGTCACTGTTAATTGTATGAAACGACAAGCATTATGCATACAGAAGGTGTCCATATGCTTTGTAATAATTGTTAACAGGACTTTTTTTTTTTTATATATAGCTCTTAACATCTTGATTACATGATTACAAACGCTGGGTTGACTATTTATCCCTATCTTAATAATTATAGATGGAAGTATTCTACTTTGTATTGGATGGTTTATGTAAAGGTGAATAGGCTACATCATATTTTCGCATTTTAAATTCAGAAATGTTTAGATGCCTGATTTCAGTGTTACTCTTGTGTCTTTTCTATTTGAAGACAAGACAGAAATATAGGCTTACTGATCTCAAAGAGGAAACATTTTCTGGACACAATAGTGTAGATTAATGATAAAATATTGCATGCAACTGAGATTCAAAATGCCAATCTCCTGTATTTTGTGTTTCCTATAATTTACCATACTTGGCAATGCAATAATATCATGTTTGAAATAGCCTATTCATGGGTTCCAGAAAACAATTTCTCATAATTTTGAAACCCATGGACTGAACAGACGTACATGATAGGCCTGTTGAGTTGGCTGCTTCTGAACTGTAGTTACTTTTTTAAATAAACAAAAAACCTTGTTTATTTTTCTCCCTTTTTGACAAAGATGAAATTAAGTGGTTTGTGCTTGTGATAATGTCTCTCTGCTTTGTGCAAATGTGCTTAGTTTTCTGTGTCAAACATGGAAACCACAAGGCAGGAAGACAGACTGACAGGAAGATGCACAAATACCAGCATCATCACTCACTCAAATGCAAAACCGTGTGTAGTTCATCTGCTCTAATGCTCTATTTTTGAACACCTATTTCTACACTTAAAATAACCAACGGCATATGGTGAGTTTGACCCTATAAAACTTGTTCTCTTATATTTAGTGTGGGGCTTAAAGACGGACTGGTGGAACAGCAACTTTTAATAGTGTAAATATCATTTGTATATTCTTCATACAACTTGAAACATGTCGTCCAACTCTGCTAATTTTCAGCATGGCGAATTTAGCAATTTTAGCATCACTGTTGCTAAATTTCACTGAATTAAATTTTTTTTAAAAACTTTAAAGATCAACCTCTTTATCGACTGCGGTGAGGTAACCCCAACCTTATTGACATCTCTTGCTAACACATGGCTGCTTGTTTCACATTCACATCGATCTAATTATTATTTCTAGACAATACTAAAGGTGTCCTTTCCAATAAAAGCAACTGATATTTTGCAATGGCATCTCACGCTAGGGGTGTTCTACATATACCTGTATGTCTATGGGAGAATGTTCAGCACTCAAGAAAAAGTACTATATGGATTTAAACCACACATTTTCAGGAGCCTGTGATCAATATGTGCATTCATGGTCCTGTCCAAGTGTTTATAAGTGATTTTTAACAACAAAGCTGAACGATTGGCTAATGGTAGCTAGCTTGTTATTTGAGAGAGAGCTGTTTAAAAGCACAAATCAGCTCAATGGTTGTAGTTCCAGCTATTCAGTTTATGGTAAGATTGTATTAAAACAAAGATCAGATTAAAGTCTAACTTGAGTAGCAGAACTTCAGACAGAGCAGTGCTTCTGTCAGCATTACAGAAGAATGAATGCTGGTGCAGCTGATGTCATCAACATTGCCTGGGGGTGTGATGCTAACTGTAGGTACTGCATGTCTGAGGCTTTTGCAGACTTTAATTTGATTTGTTTTGCCAAAAATAACAGATTTTATTGCAATTGCAACAGGTGAGATGATTTATGTTGTTAAGCAAGTCCCTCTCAAATAAAATTTCTCACCTTTTTGTTGAAAATCAGACACCTAAACTGTACAATGAACGCTTGTATTGATCACAGGTTCCTGAAAATGTATTGTTTAAATCAATTTTGTTTTGTTTTTTTCTTGAGTTTTCAGACAATTTTAAAACTTATTTGTTTGTGTTTGCTAATGTGTGCATTGTGACTCCATGGTAACTAGTTAACATTACACCAATACACATGCATGTAGAACACCCCCAGCATGATGATAATGCAAAGTATCTATAAAAAACACTCAGATTGTGCATTAGGAGGTGGTCAAAAACCTTCTATTCTCCATGGAGATGCTGTTTTGCCTATAACTATTCTCTAAATGGCATCTAATTTTGAAATTGTAATGGAGAAAAGCATGTTGGCAATCTTTAAAAAAGAAAATGCTAGAGAGCTACTCATTTTAGTGGCTGCAAGTCACAAAAACAAGAGCCAAGGCAATCCTTAAATGGGGTACAGAAGCTGATTTGAGCTTGATAGTCCAATGAGATTCATTTGGTCTTCCAATATTCTATGTTATTAGGTTCTTTTTCATACGAAGAATTTATACTCGCCACCGAGCTAGCATGCCAATCAATAAAAGAGCAGGGAGAAAAAGCAGAACTAAGAAACGAAATAGAAGGGATTCTTAAAACAGCAAGATTGCCACCAGGAAACGTAAATAAAGACGAAAGGAAAGCAATACGCACGCTAGCTAAGGACAAAACAATCACAATAATACCCGCGGATAAAGGAAGAGCCACAGTAGTCATGGACACAGACAAATATGATCAACAGATGGAAAATATGCTAAAGGACACAAATACATATGAATAGATTCGGAAAGACCCAACTGAGGAAAAGAAAAAGACACTTAAAACACTCCTAAAACCCTTGTTGGAGGAAGAAAAAATAGATAAGGAAACTTACAATTACTTAATACCAACCGCCAACATCACACCACGAATATATGGCACACCCAAATACACAAAAAGGACACTCCACTTAGATCCATAGTAGACAGCATCGGTTCAGTAACATATAATCTATCAAAAGCACTAGTAGAACTCATAAAACCATTATTAGGCCATACCCAGTAACACTGCAAGAACTCAAAACAATTGGCCCAGGAACTAAAAACCATCAAAGTACAAACCAATGAAATATTAATATCCCACGATGTTGTATCCCTGTTCACAAAAACTCCCATAAACGTCACATTACACATAGTTGAGAACCGCCTACAGACAGACAAAACACTACACAAAAGAACCAACCTGACAGTTGAAGACATAACCCGGCTCCTTCATTTTGTTTCCACATCCACATACTTCAAATTCAAAGGAAAAATATACAGGCAGAAGGAGGGCTTCACCATGGGGGACCCCTTATCAGCCATCATGAGTGGGTTCTTCATGGAAGACCTAGAGGAGAAGGCCATAAGGACAGCACCAACGACATGCAGACTCACTATGTGGAAAAGATATGTAGACGACATACTGGAAAAAATTGAAAACGGACATACACAAGAGCTAACAGACCACCTAAACACAATAGACAGCACTGGAAACATCCAATTCACACATGAAGAAGAAACAAACAATACAATAAGTTTCCTGGACATGAACATTACACACATGGAATATGGCAGCATCAAAATAAAAATACACAGAAAACTAACCCACACGGACCAGTATCTCTTATGGACATCAGAACATCCCACAGCCCACAAACTCTGTTGTAAGAACATTGTATGACAGAACCAACATCATAACAGATGAACAAGACAAACAGGAAGAAGACAGACACATTCACAGTGCGCTAAGGCAATGCCAATACCCAAAATGGGCAATAAACAAAGGGAAACAACAGGTTAAGGAGAAAGAAAAACAGAACCAAAGAAACAAAAACAAAACAGAAAAAATGAGCACAGGCATGGTAACATTACCATACATCAGGGGCATAACAGAAAAAGTACAGAGGGCGATGAAAAAACACAATATCAACACACCAGTGAAACCGTACAGAAAACTCAGATAATTACTCGTCCACCCGAAAGACAAAATAGAACCGGAGCATAAATGTAATGTAATATACGAAATACCCTGCATGTCCTGCAATAAGACATACATCGGGGAAACGGAGGGCGTTCAGTACACGAAAAAAGGAACATAGAACAGAATGCGAGAAGGAAACAGCGAAGGCGTGCACACGAGCAACAAAACACAAAGCAGAACAGGAACAACTCAAATCAGCCATTTCTGACCATTGTAAAAGAGAGAACCACGTTATGGATTGGGATGGAGCAAACATCATTGGGACAGAGGAAAACAAACATCGCCGCTGGATTAAAGAAGCAATCGAAATACGGAAACGTGCCCACAGGACTGTAAACCGGGACGAGGGGGCTTTTTTACTCTCACACACCTGGGATGCTGTCCTGAGGAAGTTGGACTGCAGATGGCGCTGTCGTCCTGCCTCCACCGGTAGGAAGACAGCGCCAAAACCTGTTTAAATCAGCTAACCAGACACGTCACAGCAACATCACGTGACCACTCTGAGGAAGACGCTAGCGAGCAGTCGAAACTGACAGGTATGAAATAACACTCTAGGTCTGAAAAAAAGAACCTAATAACATATGATTTGAGCTTGAACGTCACATTTAAAACGTGAAAGCAGAGGCCTGTCTCACATTTTCAGGAAGATTGAAGGGTCTCTGGTAGGGGTGGGCGATGTCTCGATATTTTAAAACTCGATATGAATTCTGACATATCGTATATATCGATATAATGCTTATTCAATTTAGATTTCGCCGCTTCGCTTGTTTATCTTCTCTCTCGTCGCCTCTGCACCGCCGCCTCCCTGACTTTGTTCGCTCGTGTCTCCTTGACTCCTCACTACCGCCGTGAAAGCCGAAAGTTGGTGCCAGTGAAAAGCTTCAAGCACCACGAACCTTTTCCACAATTTACAGACAAAACCACCAGCAGCACATCCTCATATTCCACCGAGTCGCGTCCTTTAGCCCGAAAGAAGCTAAAGGAGCTGAGCTGCATGACAAGTGCGCTGTTTATGCAAATGAGCCATGCGCTTAAGTTTCGTTTCTGTAAAATGTAAACACACGTGCGCGAAACTGCATTAAACACATTATTATCGCAAACGGGCTGATGTGGCTCTAGAGTCGTTATGCTTTATATATTGTAAAGTTTAGTAATGTAAAGTTTATTTATGCAGAAGATTTTAATGAATAATCTGCTGCAGTGTCACTTGTACAATAGTGTTTGGAAACGTTGGGTTTGATCTGCAGTGGATTGTGGGAAACCTCAGAGCTCCTTACTGCTGGATAATAACATGGATCTATTAAAATAAGGAACATCCTGAGCTTCCTCTGCTAAAGGAGCTCATGGTTCTGATTATGGTCTGGATAACAGAGTTAATGCAAAGATGAGCTTGTGTTGAGTTGTTTTATTTATGAATGAAAAGAAGGAAATATGTTTTATTTCTTTTATTTTACAGTTAAATTATTATTTATGTAATTAGGGTTTTTGTAATCTTAAATGTTCCTATATGAACTGCCGACCTCTTACACTTCAATTAAAAAAAAAGACCTTGTGGGATTTGGCATATTTGTTTTTGCAGTTTTCAGTTTTAGGGGGTTATTTTTTCTTGAACATATATCGAGATATATATCGTATATCGAGATATAGCAAAATATATCGAGATATATTTTTTGATCCATATCACCCAGCCCTAGTCTCTGGGCATCAGCAAGAGGCTGGTTCTTGATATCCTCAGAGCGTGAGATGGTTCATATGGCACTAACTAACCTGTGCACAGGACTTATGTGTTCAGACTTCCTGGTTTGAATCAGGACCAGAGCAGTAGCATACTGGAAGTACTGCAGCTGTCTTATAGCTGTCTTGTAGCTGGAAGTTTTTAACTATTGTGCATGTTTTGTGTATCATAATTTGAACAGAGCTCTAATGCTTATCCCTTGTTTAGTTTTTATATCATCACAAACATCTGTGGCATCTCCTCCAGTGTCATGGAGAAGAAAATCCATTATGATTCATTTCTGGATCGAAGTAAACGCATCATGTGGCAGGACGACTGTTATGTGGATCTCCAGTCCTCCAGCTCCTCCCAAGCATCTCAGTTGGACACAGAAGGTAGATCTGAAATTACTGTTCACAATATAACAGTTTCTGTTTCAATCATTTGCACATGCACATTCTAGCTGAAACCTTTAGATTTTTTAATTTTTTTAACAAACATCCTTTTATTTTTTGTGAGATACTGAGATATGTATATTATTCTAATTTTCTTAATAACTTTGTATATTCACCACGTAAACCAAGTCAGAATTCATTATAGGATTTCATAATTATAGATTTCTCATTACAAACAATTAATCTGTACATAAAGTACAATTTAAATAGGAAAAAATATTTTTGAAATTTTCAACTGACAAAAAAAATTTACTTTTAGTAATACTTTGTCATTGTTGTAATGTATTGTATTTTAATGTTTATCCATTGTACTATTTTGAGCATGATTATCATATTTATCCCAGCAAATTAGCTTGGATTTTGAAAAATGCCTCAAATGGCAGAAAAAAATTTATGTTTATGTTTGTTTATTAAATGTGGGACAGTGCACATTGATCAACGTATTAGTACAACATGTACATGTGCCAGAGTTAGCCATGCAGGCAAATTTTCATCCGTAGTCCCATTGGCAGGTAAGTAAACAAGAATTCATCTTCAATTCATTCATCCTTTTTCTTCAGAGACACCCACTCAGTTTAGCTGTTTTCAGTTGCATTGACTTACTTCTCTATTGAAAAGTGACAGCTGCAAAACAACTCATACAGAACCTACAAAAAATGCTGTTTTACATTCAAAACTGATCATCCATTCCCTAAAAGCAAGTTTTCCCATCAAACCTCTCAACCTTTGACTGTGTTTTTATGTGCTTTTTCATTCACTTGACACTGTAGCTCAGAAGCCTTAGACCTGTTCTCACAGCTCTCACTGGTTTAGTGCAGTCTGTGATTGGGGTTCATACTTTACAGTTGGTATGTGGTATTCAAACATTTTTGAAAAGATCAAATTTATCAATCCAATCCTATCCATTTTATTTATATAGCACATTTCATAAACAAAACAGTTTCCAAAGTGCTGCTCAATACAAATAAAACATATCCAATAGAAATATAAAATAAAGCTCTATTTAACTCTACTAGTCCTTATTAAGACAGTAAAACTAGTAAAAATCAAATAAGCGCAAGAATACCAATAAATAATAAAAAGTAATAATAATCAAAAAAACCCAAATAAATAACAGAGGACCACACAACTTGCGCGGTGTTAAAAGTCAGAGAATAAAAGTGGGTGAGATTCATAACACTCCACTGTGGGGGCTGGTTGCCCGTGGGGGGCTGAGCGTTCCAGAGCTTGGAGCCGGCCACAGAGAAGGTCCTGCACCCCATGGTTTTAGGTCTTGTCTTAGGCACCACAAATTGGAGCTGGCCCTTGGACCTCAGAGTGGACACAGGGGAGTAAACTTGTAAGAGATCTGAGATGTAACGTGGCTTAAAAACAAACAATAAAATCTTAAAATCAATTCTAAAATGATCTGGAAGCCAGTGCAACAACATTAAAATCAGGACAATGTGTTTTTGTTTTTTGCTTACAGTTAAAAATTGCATAGCAGAATTTTGGACTAGCTGTAGGCTGTAAAATGCATGTTGGTTGATGCCAGAAAATAGTGCATTACAGTAGTCTAAACGAAAGGAGATAAAAGCATGCATGACTTGCTGAAGAGTATTAAAAGATAAAAAAGGTTTCACTTTGGATAAAAGCCACAAATGATAAAGCCCTGATTTGACAATGGCATTCACTTGTTTTTCAAATTTAAAATCACTGCTAATAGTGATGCCAAGATTCGTGACAGAGGGTTTGACAGAGTGCTGTAATGGACCCTGATCCATAAGGTGGTTACTGGTCAGTGTTGCCAAACACAAGTGTAAACATTAGGCCTGGCAGCTTGAGGGCTCTGCGCTGTAGCTTTGCTGTTTCTAGGACTACACTTTTATAGACTGAGATATCTAATGTTCTTTTCCTGGGATCTGCTGTAGCTAGAGTGGCTACAGCATAATCATAAATTATTAATTACATTTTTCTGATTACAGATAGTGGCTGGATCCAGCAGCACCAGGAGCAGCTCTGTCGCTTCATCACTAGCTCTTTCCTGGAGCAGATCCTGAGCCACTTGAAGAGGATGAATGTGCTGAGTTCATGTGAGGAGTCCAGGATACACAGAGCGGGCCAGCTGCATGATCAGGTGACCATGCTGACAGCAGTTATCTCAGGGAAGGACTCTCCTGCGTGCAACGTGTTACGTGACTTTGTGCAGAAGTCCCACTCACAGGAGGCACAGCTCATCATCAGTTACGGTAAGGCGCCTCATGTGCTGCTGCTGTTCACACATTAGAAATAATCTGTCTCTGCATGGTTTAAAGACATCCTATATCTTACGTGATGGAGCAGATGTTTCTGAGATGAGAAACGTGATTATTTGTGTCATAACTGAATTGACAATAAAAACTATTTGTTCTTTCTGTCTTCATATTAATCAGTCTTTAAATGGAAGCATAACAAAGGCTTATGACTCATTTGCAGATTTCCTGGTGCAGGAGCATAAAGCAGTGCTGCTGAGGCGTTGTGATGAACTCAGAGACAAAGTGAACTTGTGGTCCCAGTCCCTGCTGCTGGTGGAGGGGCTGTCTGACCTGCAGCAGAAGGAGCATGACCTAATGCAGGTGCAGGTCACATGGGGAGCTCAGAGGAGTCCTGTGAGAGAGCTGAATCTCACAGCCCTCCTGGAGCCCCTGTCCCGGGCCAGCATGCCCCCCCGAGTGTCACTCACAGTCGGGGTGGCTGGAGTCGGAAAGTCCACCTGGGTCAGGCATTTGGTTAAACTGTGGAGCCAAGGAGCTGTTTGTCCTGAAATAAGCTTTATGTTTCCTCTTAGCTTCTGTGAGCTGAACTCCCTGGAGAAGTTGTCTGCTGAGAGGCTGCTAAAGCTGGCCTTCCCTCACTTGTCTGACCCCAGTCTAGTGCTGAGCAGTCACTGCAGGACTCTGCTCATCCTGGACGGCCTGGACCACTTCAGAGGCACATTGAATTTCTCAGAGGCTACTCCTTGCAATGACCCAAAGAAAGAGGTGTCTGTGGAGGAGCTAATCACAAACATCATCCGGGGAAACCTGCTTCCTCACATGGCAGTGTGGGTGACTTCCAGACCTGGAGCGGCCTCGCTAATCCCAGGAGGATTAATTGACCGAGTATCTGAAATCCCAGGTTTTAGTCAAAAGGACATTAAGACATTTTTAAACCACTTCTTCTCTGAAAATGACTATAACAATATGATCTGGGCCCACTTAGAAGACCATAAGACTCTCATGGCCCTGTGCTACATACCAGCCATTTCCTGGATAATGGCTGATACGCTAAAGTTTATCATACAGAGTGACTGTCACTCACATTTGCCTAGGACTTGTACAGAGCTATTTGCCCATTTTTGCCTGATGAAGGCAGAAGCAGGAGAACCACGAGGCAGAGAGCCTGTGAAAACCGAGCTGCTCCATGGCACTAACCGTAAACTGCTGTGGAGTCTGGGGCGGCTGGCCTTTTACGCCCTCCTCAGACACAAGGACACATTTAACGAGCAGGACCTTCGTGCCTATGGAATAGACCAGGCTTTACTGCAATGCAGTCTGGGGACAGGAGTCCTTATGCGTGAGGAGTCACTCATCTCCACTGTGTACCGCTTCACTCATTTAAGCATACATGAATTTTTTGCCGCTATCTTCTACTATGTTTCCTCCAAGCGAGCAATCTTTGACCTGTTCTCTGAAAGCACTGTGTCATGGCCAAAGATTGGCTTTCAGAATCACTTTAAAAATGCTTTCCAGTACTCTCAGCAGGCAGTTAGTGGTCACTTTGATGTGTTTGTGCGCTTTCTCTCTGGCCTCCTCAACCCTCAGGTTTTCAAACCACTCTCTGCTCTTGTGACACTTTGGAAAGACGATGGCAGTCAGAAGGCCTGGGCAGCGGGCTTTTTACATAGTCTGTTGTCCAGTGGTGGGCTTGTGGTGTCCCTGCGCTCAGTGAACCTGGTCTATTGCCTCCATGAGCTACAGCACCTGGAACTGCTGCGGAGTGTGGAGGAGGACTTGCGCCTGGGCAGCCTGTCACGGAAGATGTCTCGGGCCCAGTGTGTGGTGCTGAGCTACCTGCTGCAGGTGTCTCCAGAGTGCAGCCAACAGACCAATCTGACCAACTGTCTTAACTACAACACTGTCCAGTGCTTGCTCCCTCAGCTTCTCTACTGCAGCCATCTACGGTAAAGCAACTTCAAACTAATGTGGTGTCTTCAAAACAGTTTTTATAATACTTGTTTTGTCCCTGCAGATTAGAGAATAATCAGTTTAAAGATGATGTTATGGAACTTCTGGGCAGCCTCCTAAGTGCTAAAGACTGTCACATAAGGAAAATGAGGTGAGTCAATGTAATGTTTGTAAATTAATGCAAAACATTGTATGCTGTAATGGCAATGGCATGCGAAGTGAAATACATGTAATTTGTTGTATTTGTTATTTTAGCTTAGCCGATAACTCCATCAGCAAGAAAGGAGCCAAGTCTCTTAGTCGCGCTCTTATGGTCAATCGCACTTTAACGTCTCTCAAGTAAGCTTAGTCCATAGTGTTGTTACTTCATGACTTTTCTGTGTATGTCAACAACATTTTTATGATTTAGTCTAAGAAGCAATCACATTGGCTCTAAAGGTGTGAAGTTGCTGGCTGAAGCACTGAAAATGAACCAATCCCTGGTGTCGGTTAAGTGAGTACAAAGGCTTTGAATTGAGATTTTTTAACTTATTTCTCACTTACCCTTTGTGGTGTAAAGTGGTCTATTTGCCTGCTTTTAGCCTCCAGAATAATGGAATAGATGAAGAGGGGGCTCAGGCAGCTGCTGAAGTATTGAAGTGCAATCGCAAACTGGTCTCTCTAAAGTGAGTGACTGATATAGCCCTGTTCCGCAATAAACCATGGGTGGTAGAGCTCACTCATAAAAGCCACCTTTTATTGTCCATTTTCATAGTCTGCGCAAGAACATGATTGGAGCAGACGGGGTTAAAAAGATCGCTGAGGCACTGAAGACAAACCGGACCCTTAAAAAACTAGTGTAAGTTTACTTACTGTCTAACATCTCTCAACATCTTACCTCAGGTATATAACCTAGAGTCACTTTGTGGTTTTCTGTGCCTAGTCTTTGTAGTAATCATCTTGGTGATAAAGGAACAGTAGCTCTGGCAGGGGCATTGACAACTAACCACACACTGCTCTGTTTACAGTAAGTATTTACTGAACTGCAGAAATATCACTATGCTGCAAATAATCCAGTGCATATTATCTCCAGTATAGTGTATTCATGCAGTTAAATACAAAAGAAATATTCATCCAAGTGAAAAATGTGTGCTTATCGAAAATCAGGAAGAAGGGAACGTTCCACAGCTGTAAACCATGCTACAATGTTACATGTCCTCATCATTACCTTACTAGTTTGAGTTTTTCACATAGAATTAAAAATGTTCAATACCCATTCTTCAAAAATAAATAAACACTTTTCATTTCTGCTGATTTATACTAGGTACAAATAAGAAAAATAATAATACAATAAAACAATACTTGGGTTATTAAGTTGCTGTCTTAGTTGTTAGTGAACCCCAGTAACTTTTTATAACTCACTTATAACTTTTCTTTTAGACTTCAAAGCAATTCAATAAGCAACAAAGGGATGACTGCTTTAACTGAAGCACTGAGACTGAACCATGGCCTTGTAACCTTAAAGTGAGCAGCGAATTCTCCTTCACATCAAATTATATGTACATACTGCATAAACTTGGTCTATGTTGTTTAGTCTTTTGGTAACGCACATGTTTCTTCAGTTTAAGGGAGAACTCGATCGGTGTGGAGGGAGCTAAGGACATGGCTCAGGCTCTGTATAAGAACAGCACACTGCAGGAGCTTGAGTGAGTTGAATTCTTAAACACGTACTGTAGGTATGGTGGCAGGAAATGACTCTCTGCAAATGTGACATTTTCCCTGCCATATGTAAAATGATCTTATGGTGATGCTCACACTAAAGTGATATAGAACTTCACAGATTTATTCCCCACATTGCTTTTCACTGGAATGTTTTCAAACAATGCAGTGCTCACACTAAGAATGACTAAAGTGCTTTCTTGTGCTCAGTTAGCTTCTGTGTTGTCTTGAGCCCTCTATGACAAAATAATAGTGGGCGGGGGTTATTAGGAGTGATTTTAGTGCATTGATCAATGGCTCACATTTGTCTGTCAAAAGGTGTTCACTAAGTGGCTGTCGCCACGGCGACATCTCTGCATTTGCATAAAGTTGACTTTAGTTCAACTCAGCTATGCTCAGGTTACCTGGATTACACCGCTCCTCTCCACTTCCTCTAGTGAAATGAATGGGAGCTGATCACTCAAGTCGTTCACATTGCTCTTAGTGTGAGCGTGGTGTCAGTGGTGTGGCGCAGCAGAGCTGCATGCTGTGGAATCAGCCCATGGAATTTTCACTGACTATGGTATAATACTGTTTCATCTTATTCTCTCATGGCCTACTTGTGTATGTGTATTTTAGCCTCACTGCAAACCTGTTACATGATGAAGGAGTTCAAGCTATAGCTGGTGCAATCAAGTCCAATCAGTCTCTCATATCTTTGCAGTAAGTATGTTTTCTGATGCTTATAGACATAAAGAAATAAACCCATTAATAGCATGCCAGTCGGTCACTGTTTTTCAATTCCTTTTCTGTAAAGTGTGTACTAGGGATTGAACAGTACAGTTTCCCATGATTCATATGTATCTCGATACATGGGTCACGATTAAGAAGCGAAAAAAAATTCTCATGTAATGTTTTCTGCTAATAGGTGTAATATACCTTGACATGATATTAATGAAACATTACCTACATTACATACAATGCATTAAAGGACAACTACTGTTGTAGTTGTATTTTATATGTGAAGTGTTTTAGTTAATTTTGTCTAGTGATTTACAGCTCAGAATTTTATTCGGTGAAAATAATAATACAGTAGAGCTTTCTCAAGCTATTTAAATGTTATAATATAGCCAGTGGATGGATGGATGGATGGATAGCCAGTATACTCTTAATATACACTGCTAGGAGTTACACTACCAGTTTGACTCTCCTCACTGCTTTCACATGCCTGTGTTTGTACTGCTCTCCTTGTCTCCAGCAACAAAAGAGACAGACAGTAGCTCCTCCCACACTGCCATGCTATAATCTATGCTCTTTCCAATCACACTGTACTCTCCCATCTTCTTTCTGGACACTTAAACTATGTTATATTACACAGAAATGTCTCAACAGAAATAAAAGTAAAATTTATGAAACAGAGTCTGAGAAAAAGAAAAATTGCATGAAAAAGATGTGAGCGCATTTGATTAAAGCCAATGTAAAGCTAAAAGCGATTCTAGAGTATTTCAAAATTAATATCTTTGTCTTTTCTCGGGCTATCAACGTAAAATAAAATGTGACGGAAAGATAAAATCCACCTCTGTTGGTCTCAGCTGTTGGTCTCAGCTGTAGCCCTCTTTGGATCTGCTGCATCTGGGAAGGACGCCACAGTAACCCTTTTCCCTTTTTGACCAAAATAAATGACAACACAGAATGCATGGAGGGACACGTGCTTATTGAGGGAACTCGTGTATCGAGTCATGACACCAGTATCAAATTCGTTATTATATCCAGTATCATTGTATCTTTAGTGTGTACACATTAATAATATAGAGTTATAGTTGTAATGAAGTTTATTAAAGAAAGATGTGTTTGTAAAAAAATAATAAATAAATTGACTATAATTCAATATTTTTTATGATGATTGTTGTAAAAATTAATGTTTATACCCTATAGTCACTCAACAACTAGATCCTTGTTTCTGTTTTTATCTACATCATCAGTGAATATAATTCTCCCTACAATGGAATCAAGGCCTGGAATGTGTTAGAATGCGTTGATTGCTCATGCTTCAGGTTCCAAACTGGTGTTCAAATTGGGACATCTAAACTAAACTAAAATTAATCAGGAGAAGATTAACTATAGGTGTCACATGTTTTGTTTTTGTTATTTTCAGTCTTCAGTGGAATTTTGTAAAATCTCCTGCAACCAAGGCCCTGGCTCAGGCTCTGCTCTGCAACACCACAATGCAGCTTTTAGAGTAAGACCAAAGGATTTCCTCTCTGTGAGCTACATAATGTTTTTTTTTCTTTCTATGTGGTATTTTCTATTGCATTTTTGTTGTAAACACTACTCAAAGTAACCAGAATAACACTAAACACTTTATTCTTTCTACACTGGAGAAAGCTATCAGCCTTTATCAAATGTATGAATGCTTGCTCATAACCTCCATATTACCTTTTTCCAACAGTCTACAAGAAAACGCTATTGGAAACGAAGGTATTGTGTCTCTTGCTGAAGCCCTCAAAAGTAATACAAGTCTTCAAACATTATGGTCAGTATTTTTAAACTTTTTTCTCTTATCCAAATTGAAAGTCTGTTTTATCAGTGGACCATTTTATTTGTTGGTAATTTAGTCTCCAGGGAGTGTCTGCAGGCACATCAGGGGCTATTGCACTGGCAGAGTCACTAACAACCAACCAGACGCTTATAACACTGGAGTAAGTAGTTTTTAATTTTTGACATGGGCAGTCTCCTTTAAGGGGACAAAAATGGGTCTCCGTGATGTGCATCCTTGATTATTAGATCAACAATATGATTTGAAGTTCAGATAAGTGTTAAAACAGTGAAGGTTAAGGTTAGGCAAGTAGTAGTATTGAGGTTAAATCTTGATAAATATAATGTAAGGCCCATTTTCTTTTGTGAGATGTGTTTGTACCGTGTCCCTCTTATAAATTAATAGACTCATCTATTATGTAAACCAAGCAAGCACTTGCACTGGTCAGGTGGACAACAAGATGGGAGACAACACTGGGTTTAACATGTTCAAAAATGGTTCAAAAGGTTTAATGTACAAGAGCAAATTAAATTAGAATAATATTTACAAAATACTGTATGGTATGGGGTTGTCAGTATACAGGTGTCACTAGTGTATGTGATTTGAGTGTAGGGCATAAAACAAAAAGATAAACTCAAATGTGCATAGATGAAATGGACATTGCAGACCAGTAGAACAGGGAGACAGGGAGGTCTTGGTAGGCCTAGTAAGAGCACACAGTGATGCAGGCGGGGTGGGTCATCTAGAGTGACTTGGGTGGAAGGAGAGAGGTGACAGAGCAGGGTACAGCCCACATTTCCCCCTAAGAGCCCATAAGGGCCTGACCCATAACAACTGGCAAGAGAGTTGGATGAAATAAAATTTGGTTCCATTGAAGACCATGTGTATTACCAGTCATACCCCAGTTTGGGACCCACAATTAAGACCTCATTAAACTTGTAGTGTGCTAAAAATTGCGGTATTTGTTTGTGTTTTTTTCAGCCTACGTGGGAACACTGTTGGCGTAGAAGGAGCAAAGGCATTAGCTAATGCTTTGAAAATCAATAGGAGTCTCAAGTCTTTGAAGTGAGTATAATGGAAAATCATTTTGTGATGGATGCACACGTTATGACGTTTTAGCTAATACAACAGAGAGCAGCTCTAGAAATGTAGCTTCTGAGGGGGTCCTAAATGCCATTCTTTGGCCCTTGTTTACAGTATGGTTGCTAGGTAACACTGATGGAATGACCACTATTCTTAGATTTCAGCTTCCTGTTATATCGTACCATTTTGAGGACAGTTAACCATTCAGAATATATAATATTTTATATTATATATTTTGAATTGTTAATTGCTATGGCAGCACCAGCTTTTCATCTGTTGCTTGTAGGAACAAGCAACAGCTGGTCCCATCTCACATCTCCTGTCCATGTCCAGATAGGAACTTATATTAAAACTAAATGTCACAGAAAGTGTCAATTAAAGATCACTTACATTATGTGCTGGCTCTCATAGAAAGGTATTAGAGCACTGGAGTTTGTTTTGAAGGGAGCTACTATATTTGAGTCATCATAAAATATATTTACAGTATTTTGAATTGAGAAAACATTAAACATGGAACAATGACAGGCAGTTAGCCATAACATTATAATTGTTGTCATTTTTTTCACCCCACACTCCCAGTCTCCAAGAAAACTCTCTGGGTATGGATGGAGCCATATTTATTGCAACAGCATTGAAAGGAAACCACCAATTGTCATATATCAAGTAAGACTGAGACTTAAGATTTATTAAAGCATCCATTGAATGCCTTTTTAGATGTAACAAAACCTATTTAACAGCTTTTCTTTTCTTTTAGCCTGCAGGGGAATGGTGTTGGAGAGTCTGGAGCCAAGGTTATTTCGGATGCAATTAGGTCCAGTGCTCCAGGATGTATTGTCGACATCTAGAAAAAGAGCAGCCATTTCAGACAAAAATCATGTAACAGAAATAACTGTAGATGCATTTAGCTGCTGCCATTTGACATTGATTTGTATCGTATTTAGTTTGATTTTATTGACTATGTATCGAGAGACATATTTCAATATTTTACAAAGCCTACAAAGCCTTTATAGGCACTTGTGATGAGTGGTCTCCATAATGTGCTCCACGTCTTTGCTGTGGCATCAGAATAAGTATTAGTTTTATTGTCAGTGAGCAAAATTCACAAGCAAAGGTTAATATGGACAGAACAGAAGGGCACAGTGCAGAGGTTCTGTTCCAAATGGACCGTAGCCTGTCTGAGGGGAATGGCTCAAATAGTCATTGACCAGGGTGAGAAGGGGTAACTGTGATTTAACCTGCTCACCCCCAAAGCCTGGAGACGTACAGGTCTTGGAGAGATGACAGGCTGCAGCTAATGACCTTCTCAGCAGAGCTCATAATGCAGTGCAGTCTGATGAATAGTAATTTGATAAAACCAAATGTATTGTTGATTATTGAAGTGGTGTAATATATGCATGTGGGGATTTTCAACATGTGTCCATGGAGCCTTATTCAAACTGTACTTTTTATCCACCTTCCCAAGACTCACAATAAATTTTTTTTATTTCATTAGATGCAAATAGAACCCATATTTCAATGTTTGAATGCAAGGTATTTGCTACAACCATTCATAGATTTTTTTTTACAGAATATAAAACTGTTAAAGATATTACAGCTCCAATGCAGCAGCTGTTGTAGCAAATGGTCAGCAAATTAAATAATTATGGAGGAGGCTACAAGAAGCCTTCTTATGGAAGTGCCGATCAGGGTAATATGCAATTAAAGGGTTTTGTGAATGAAGAAGATAACCTCAGAGGTCCAACCATGACTAATTACTTTCTCAAAGAGACTGCTGTCAAAGGAAATGAAAAAGGGGAAAAAAAGACCTGAGCTAAACAGTGGGAGACCTCCATCAGCTCAAAATAGTACATTTTATTGCAAGGCCCTGATGGTTGGGCTTGTGTGGTACCTGGAGACAGCTAGTGAAACTAGTAGTAGTAGTATGTATGTATTGTAGTATGTTATAATTCAACAAATCAAGGAATTTTTATTGTGCACATTCAAATTCTGATAATGATTTTATGATTTGGACTGATATAGGGCCATGTACAGAAATATAAATGATTCAATTGACATTTTTGTTGACCTAAACATGCTACATAGGTCTCCATGAACAGTTGATAGTCAAGGTCAGTTAAATACAATCAATTCAGTCATTGTGTTCTTAGGCAAGACACTTTGCCTAGTATGAAAGTGGTGTGTGTGTGAGTGATGGTGGTGGTCGGAGGGACCGATTGCGCCGATTGGCATGGCAGCCGCGCTTCTGTCAGTGTGCCCCAGGGCAGCTGTGGCTACAATAGTAGCTTACCATCACCAGGGTATAGAGTGAATTGATAATGCTGAATGAATAATGCATAATAATGCTCTGTAATGCGTCTTTCGGGACAGAAAATGTCTGTGAAAAACGCTATATAAATAAAGACTTACTAAAGACCAAAGCTAGACAAAAAGCTAAAGAATATTTGACTTAAAGCTGAATAAAAATGCTAAGGCTGTTTATCAATGATGGCTATTCAGTTTAAATGCACAGACCTTTTCAGGTTTTAGACATTTGCACTGTAATAAAGTAATTTACCAGATATAGTCTTTTGAAATCTATCAAAATTAAAGCCACCACACCCTGCAGGAGAATTTGTCCAATTTAGACTATGTGATTTGCTTTCCCCTGAGTTCTAGAAGGCGTGAACCGACTTTGTTTCTTCGTGTGTGATTTTGAAGCCGCCGCGCTCCTCGTGTGTGGTGTTAGTGTGACTCTGAGCAACATCAGAAACACTACGGTAACAGCCAATAAAACAGAGCGTCGGGGCAGACGGAGCGACGGACACAGAGATGAAAAATACAAACTCAGAAAATTTGCGAAAATAATCATCACTGATGTATTTGTTATTCCAACATCTTTCAGTTTTCTCTCATCATATGCTGTAAACTCTAGTCTGCATATGGAAATGTGTACATTTATTTATAAATGATTTATTTTACAAACACAATAAAATACTGACTGTTTTTTAGCTCAACTCCTCCAACCCCACTCTCCTCCAATCTGTGTGAACCTTAACTTCACAGACTGCAATAAACCACTGAGAGCTGTGGTGACTGAGTGCTGGTCCTTCTGAGCTGTAGTGAAAGAGCTCAGAAAACACATGAGCACAGGCTGAGAGGTTTGATGGGGAAACATGCTTTTGGAGGTTGATTGACGATAAACTGCATTTTGCTGAGATTACATTTTGTTAAGGGTAACTACAATTGTTTAGATTTTTGTGTGAGTTTTTCAAATGTCAACTTTTTTTTCCAGCTGTCAGTTGCTTTCATCAGGGTGCTCAAAGTGGTTCACATATATGGACTTACCCTTTAAAGGTTTAGGCATTATTTCATTTGAATCATTATGACCAAAATGATTAAACCAAATATCATATGATTTTTTACATGCTTTTATTGAATATTGGATAAACATCCGTAGATAGCGTGTCATATATGCACGGTATATTTTCCAGCTATGAAAAACAGGTCCTTTTCTTTGAAACCTTTTTTAAATGAGCCTCAGTTCTGCTGGTGCATAATTTTCAAAGCTTTAAATCCATTCTTAAAACAATTCATACAAACATCATATTACCTTATATCTCTTGCAAAATCAAAATGAAGTATTTCTCTCAGTAAACTTGCCAGTCCCCAAGAATGCACAGACGTCCGTGTAGCGTATTTTCAGATTAAACACGGAGCAAAAAATATGAGGCTCATGTTGGAAAAGTGTATCAAACAAACAGGATTTGTAATTGTTTTCTTACCACTTACTGGCACCATTTATCTCTGACGTTATTCTCCACTTTGAAAAAAAACACTAACATATTCGACATGTGTGATTATAGATTATTTTGGTAATAATATGGAGCACACTTCTACCCTGGCTCTACTGAATTTCATAAGCACAATCCTCTCTCAAGCATCATGTGGGCAAAAGTGCTTTTGACTAATGCAATCCATCAGTCAAACAGTCAGGAGCATTAGAGAAGTGTAGTGCTCAAGGGCCATTTTCCAGACTCTGCAGGAGTACCTCGCTGTAGGATAGTCTACAGGTGTTTGCCATCAATCTGAATATTTGTTTATGCACATCTATATATCTCATTTAGCATAAACATTTGGACTGTACCAATGATAATTGGTTTAAGCATTTTGGTGGCTGTGATTCCAGACAATGAGGCAATACTTGTTTTGATAATAATGTTTTGAATGGTTCATCCAAATAGACGATATAATGAATTTTGAACAGTCTGGCAAAAGCAAATGGCAGCGTAAGACACAGTAGACAATCATATAAAATCATTTGAAACACTACACCAAAGCATTTGATCTTTCCAAAAACAAACAAGAAAATGACTTGAAGTAAGCTAAATGCGGTTGAACAATTACTTTCCAAAATCTCAGTTCTAAAATTATGCCAAAGCCACTGGGAATAATCCTTTTGGACCCCATAATTGCAAACAATGAGGCAATCCTGTTTTCAGTTGCTCTGGCACATTTTTGGAAACTTTTCAAAATGTAAATCTTTTGCACACTTTGCAAATCTATTCACTCAAAGCACAGAAATGCATTGTAAACAAAAATTAATGCATACACATACACCTGCCTATCTCCATGTTATTGCTTTGTCAGAATGTTCCACACTATACATTAAACCTATATCATGTGGGACACAAGCAGGTTACAGCACTACACTACTGTACAATTCAGATCTGTGAAGAGACATCCTTATTCACAGTAGGAATTATTGTATTTTTGAGGATAGAAACACCCATAATGCATAAATCCTAGTTTAATGTCATACCATGGAACATTCCAGGCAAAGCAATAACCTCCATGGAAACTAGTAATAGTAGTTTGTCTTCTTACTTACTTTGAAAGGCATATAGTACATGTCAAGAGAAAGTGTTACAATTGCAAGCAGTGTTTGAGTGGCTGTCATTGTGTTGCAGGTACTGCAAGAAGCATTACACTTTTACACATTACACTTTTTTCAATCGCTTTGACACTAAAGTCTAAATTTCAGCACAAATTCCAAAATGTGTCACTCAAGGAGCAAATACTCAGTTCATGGCAGCACAACCTTATATTCATTTTTAAACCTTAAGTCGCATGTCAAAACTACAAAACAGAACCTTTCAGAACCTAAAACACACTTAATTTGTAAACCTCTATCTGCATGTCTGTGTACATAAATACTGTACACTCTACGCAGTTCATAGAGCAAGACATGAGATGTTGCAGATACAGAAGCATTGGAAACTTCTGAAAGCACTAGAATACAAACAAACCAGGTTTTAAATCATTTTTGAAGGCCCAAGTCTGACACACTTCAAAAATCAATTGCTTTTTGTAACCTAAATGTGTGATATTGTACACATATTTACAGTGTTTACCTCTCTCAAACCATGAGAACAGAGTGATACTGGTCCTACAGGTCATGTCTAAAGGTGTGGGAGCACAAGAGAAGTTTATAAATCCGATGACTGTGTTTAGCTTTTAACCACAAAGTGTCCTTTTTACCAGAGTGTGTTGTTTTGTTCACAATGTTTACTTTTTTAGACGTCCTGGATTGTTTTGTGTCTTGTGTGAATAGTTTTGCAATGTATGCCAAAGATTTGCCAGATTTATGAAAGTTTCAGAAAATCTGACAAAGCAATTGAATAAACATAAAAGTGCCCAGCTCTAAAACAGGCCACAGAGAGCATATATCCATTTTATATCTATATATCCATAACCAAAATCTGAAATGCAGATTGCAGTACTCTATCTGCACATCCTATAGTATGGCTACGTGAACAATATACACTCTTTCCAAAGTCCATAGACAAAAGAGACAAAGAACAAAAGAGAGCACACAGGAATCACAATATCAGGATATTTAATAGACATAGAAGCACTACACGTTTTCAAATCTCTTTGGCACATTTTCTGAAACTTTTTTTTATAAATCTGACAAGACTTTGGTGCAGTGCATTGCAAGACACAAAATAATTCATAACGTTAAAAAAAAATTATACAAAAACTAAAACACGTAGGACACATCAAATTTATAACCTTAATCTAACCACCAGTATCACTCTGTTTCTGATGGTTTGAGAGTGAGGTATATTCTGTTAATATGTGTACAATATTACACAATTATAAAGAAAACAAAAAGCACAATTATAAAATCTGTGCTTTTTAGCATTTGATCTCTGAACTGTGTCAGACGGACCTCACCTGGTTTTCACTACAGAAGTCTTTTACATTGTGCTTCCAGTGCTTCTGTGTATGACTATGAAATCTCTTCATATTGTGATTCCTGTGTGTTCAGTTTTGCCCTTTGTGTCTTTTCAGGACCAGTGTGATACTGGTTCTGCAGGTCTCTGAGTGCAGCATTCACCTGCCAGTGTCATGTAACACATATAAATCTGATGATTGTGTTGATATTTTAAACACAAAAACAGTTTGTGTTATGTTCACAAACTTAGTTTCTTTAAATATTCTGAATTGTTTTTTGTCTCATGCAAATAGTTTTGCAAAGTGTGGTTTGTGAAAGTAAATGTGCCAAAATTCTGTGTGTATTAATTGCTATGATATCTGCATTCAAGTATAAAACTGTTCTGATTTGACAATTGTGCTGTGGATACAGCACCGAAACAGGGTGGAATATGAAAACATGGGGTAATCAGTAACAGGTTATGCATGAGGAAAACAGACCTAAATACAAATACAAATACAAATACAAATACAAATACAAATACAAATACAAATACAAATACAAATACATACGGTATACAACAATCCATTGTGGAGCATATTTTTAAGAAAATCCAGAGGTTGGCTTATTTTTCTGTGAGAGTAAAGGTTTCAATTTTCCCCTCATGACGTGTCATATGTCATGTGACAGTGAATAAAGGATCTGGCTTCCGTCTCCTTGGTGATATAACCACATATGCAAGGATACAGTCTATAAGTAATGCCAAATATAACAAAGGCTCTAGAGTTTTTCTCAGTTGCTTTTCTTCAACTGTATTGGTCTCTGACATGGTTCAGGAACTGAATGACACTATCGCTG